AAATAAGCCATTCAATGCCCAGATTCTTGTCAGCCGTCCAGCCATCACAATAAGCACCCTCTATGTTCACCTTATAAGACTGTGTATGAATTCATGTATTTTTGCTTTCTTCAAGGTCGTTATACTTCCTTTGGGTGCCATCTAAATTGTTAGTGACTTAAAATCTAAATCAGAACTACCATTTCCATATTAGGAACTATAAAAACCCTTTTCATGTACCTGAGCTAAGAAGAAAAAAAATTTTAATTCATCCAGAAATATTTACTGCGTATCAGCTATATTCTAAGCATTACATTCATAATGATTAAAAAACCAAAGCAAAACCCTTATGTGCACTATTCTTGGGGTTTCATTTTTGTTTTTTAATTTGAAGAGTGAGGGGTAAAGAAGGCAAGAAAAAGAATAAGGGAAGTATTAGGGACAGTGCTTAGACCCAAAGTTGATACAAATGAACATTTGAATCAGCAAACTTTCTACTGGAGAATATTCTTCCAGATGAATAGGATTCCATTCATTCATTTATTCAGCAGATAATATTGATCACAAGATATATCTCAGGCAAGTGTTAAAGAAGAATATTTATATCTACAAGTAAATTTCTATGAGGATCCAATGAGATAGTATATGTCAAGCACATTGCCTGGCATGTGGTAAGTACTTGATAAATTTGTATCTGTTGTTATTTTAATGGGGAAGGGGTACAGTAGTTTCCTAGGGCTACCATAACAAACTACCATAAGCTAGCTGACTTAGAACAAGAGAAATGTGTTCTGCCACAGTTCTGAAAGCTCTAGCTCAGGCCATGCTCTCTCTTAGCTTTTGGTAGTTGCCATCAGTCCTCAGCTTCCTTTAGATTGTAGCAGCATAACTCCAATATCTGCCTCCATTATACTATGGCCTTCTTTCCTCTGTGTGTCTGTCTTCACATGGCTTTCTCCTGTGTGTGTGTGTGTGTGTGTGTGTGTGTGTGTGTGTGTGTCTGTCTCTTCTTGTAAGCACACATTCATTTTGGATTAAGGGCTCACCCTTCTCCAGCATGACCTTATCTTAATTTACATCATAATATACCTACAAAGAAATATTTCCAGGCTTTTGCTCCAAGATGGTGGTGTAGGAAGACCCTGAACTCACCTCTTCCCACTAACACATCAAATTTACACCTATAGGTAGAGCAGTTCTCCCAAAGAATAACTGAAAGCTGACTGAATGGCTTCTGCACAACAAATGAGAGAGACCACATAGAAATGGGTAGGAGAGAGAGATACATGGTACCATGGGATCCCCATCCCCAGTGCACTGACTTGCGGTAGGGAGGGATCACTGAAGGGCCTGTGCTCAGACTAGCCTGCCCTGGGGCGTAGAAAAAGCACAGTGGTTTAAAGGAAACCTAGACTGTATGGGAAGTAAATCCATTTACAAACCCTAGCGCAGTGGCCAAATGAGACGGGAACTGGGGGAGCACCATTTGTTGCCCTTCCCTTCCACCTTGATCACATGGGTAGGAGCACAATCCAGGCACTCTAGCCAGTTGGCCAAGGCCATCAGAGTAGGCAACAGACCCCAGATCCACACCAGCTCCATAGCTTGTTCCTAGGATCACCCATGGCCCACACCCTCTACAACTGTGCTCTGGGTCCCAGCACAGCTTGCTCCCAGGTCTCCTTGCAGCCTGCTCCAAATACTGCTCCAGCTGCTTCCCAAGGCAGCCCCAGCATGGCTTGCCCCCAGGACTCTCCACAGTTCCCACCACTCTAGATACAGCTCCCACCCCATTCACCTTGTCCCCAGGACTTCCCACAGACCATGTTTACTTCAGCTACAGCCTGTCAAGGTGGCCCTGGGTTGGCTTGACCTTGGGACTCCCTGTAGTCTGAGCTCGCTCCAACTACAGCACCGACCAGCCTGCCAAGGTGGTCCTGGTGCAGCTTGCCTCTTGGACTCCGCACAGCTCACACCCACTCTAGCTACAGCTCCCACTCTGGTTTGGCTTCTCCTTGGGACTTCCTGCAGACCATGCCTGATTCAGCTACAGTTCCAACCAGCCTGCCAAGGTGGCCCCAGTACAGTGTGCCCCAGGTCTCCCTCTGGCCCACCGAAGACACCCAGCACATGCAGTCTACAATGTTTACAAAGCTCCTACACAAGGCCACTTCTTTAAGACCAGAAGAGGTTGCCGGTTCACCTAATTCATAAAAACAAACACAGAGAAATGGCCAAAATGAGGAAATGCAGAACTATGTTCCAAACAAAAGAAAAATAAACCCTAGAAAAATAATTAAGTGGAGACAATCTACCAGATGAAGAATTATGACAAAGGAGGCTAGGATATACACTGGGGTAAAGACAGCGTCTTCAATAAATGTTGGGAAAACTGGACAGATACATGAAAAAAAAATAAAATGAAACTAGACCACTTTTTACACCATATATAAAAATAAACTCAAAATGGATTAAAGACTTTAAATGTAAAACCCCAAACCATAATACTCCTAGAAGAGAACATAAGCAGTAAACTCTCTGACATTGCTCTTAGTAATATTTTTTCTGATACGTCTCCCTGGGCAAGGGAAATGAAAGGTTAACAAATGGGACTACATCAAACTAAAAAGTTTCTACACAGCTAAGGCAACCATCAACAAAACAGAAAGACTACATACCGAATGGGAGAAGATGTTTGCCAATGATACATCCGATAAGGGGTTAATATCCAAAATATATAAAGAACTCATACAACTTAACATCAAAAAAACAAACAACCCAATTAAAAAATGGACAGAGGACCTAGACTTTTTTCCAAAGGGTACATACAGATGGCCAATAGACATATGCTCCACATCACTAATCATCAGAGAAATGCAAATCAAAACTGCAATGAGCGATCACCTCACACCTGTCTGAATGGCTATCAGTAAATCAACAAACAAGTGTAAGCTGATCTTTGACACGTCTTCCTCTCTGCAAGTAGCCCCAAAGCACTCACACACTCATGGCAGAAAGAAGGCGGGGCAAAGAACGACCCCAGATGCACGTTCTCCAACACCATCCACAAAGGCTTCAGGAGAGGCTGGCTAAGAAACTGGAGCAGCCCTGCCACCCAGGCTTCCATGCTGGGCCCTGCGCCAAAGCCAGAAGCTAGGAAAGAATCTTGCCTTGCTCTGAACAGCAGTCCACAGAGAATGGCTCCACTGAAAAGGCTTGCTACTCTGGGGAGGATGTGGGTGACAAAGAGCTCTAATCCCTTTCCATGGTAGGAATACTTGGTCAAAACACGTACACTTCCTGAAACAGCAGAGCATGCACCAAGTTTTCCATAGGATTTTAAGAGAGATTGATTTTTATAATACATGTAGAAGAGGCCTGAAGAAGAAAAGAATTGAGCAATGAAGAGGTTTGGGGTTCTAGGAACATCATGTTACCTGTTACAAAGAGCATTTAAAACTTGCTCACAAAATGGAATTTGACAGATAACAGAAAACATTTCTCCACAAAACAAAAAAAGAACAACAACAACAAAAAAAAACCAACAGGGCACCATCAAGGGAAGGATGTGTTCTGAGGAGATAAAAAGCATTTTTTGCCTTCATGACCTGAAGGTGAAAAAGCAGAGGGAGGCAAAAATACTGTCTCAGGTTTTGAGTAAACAGGGTATTACTTTAATTTCTACTTTTATTGATGGCTGTATTGACAAAGGACAACAGCCTGTTTTTGTTGAAAAACTCTCTTCAGGACTATTCAAATCTTTTCTGTAAAGGAGAAAGAAAGACAGCTAGAACTCTGAGAGGCACTCGAGTAAAGTTTGAATCAATTTCATTTTCTGGAAGAAAACTCTGTTATGTGGGCCTTATTGAATTCCTTATGGTGGGCCAGCAGTGTGAATCCCACCCATAATCAGTGAGGTGGTAGTTCATGAGAATTCTAGTCTAATTCCCTGTTCCATGTTTGAGGAGAGCAGGGCCCCCCCAAATTGAAGGATTTACTTGCCCGGAGCTAGTTAGAGAAGAACAAGGATTAGAACCCAGGTAATAATTATATACTTACTGTGGAGATTATTTGTGTATGTCTGCCACCTTCTTCTACGTGGGACGTTTCTGGAGGATAGTGACGCATTGCTCGCTCTGCCGACCGCTGCTCAGGAAGCATTGGTTAGCTGGCTAACTGGGGGATTACATGGCACTCTGAATGGTAGGGCTGATAAAAGCAAGAGATCTGGGGTCCCTACTGCCTGTGTCCAGATCTAGCTGTGCCATGTATCAGCTGGATAACATTGTGCAAGTTCCAAACTTCTGTAGGCCTCACATTCCTCATCTGAAAACAGAAAGGAGAGTTGGATTTACCTGACAGGATGGCTGTGAAGACTCAGTGAAGCAATGCATGTAAAACATTGCATTCAGCTGTTGCATAACAATACTGCATAGCAAAACACCTCTAAACTCAGGGCTCTAACACGACGATCATGCATTTTTTTGCTCAGCATCTACAGGTCAGCTAAGGCTCAGTTGGCTGGTCTTGGCTGCAAGCTATAGATTGGGTCTAGGTCCACTTCATAAGTCTCTCATCCTCCTTGGTTCAGTAGCAGCACAAGCCAAATTGTTCTCATGGTGACATCAGAAGCTCACAGGGCAGGCTCATCCTTCTGCACACTCCAAGGCCCCACAGGAATCATGTCTAGTAATCTCCCGTTGTCCAGAGCAAGTCATAGGGCTGAACCCAAAGTCAAGAAGTACGGAAGTATCACCACCCACCAGGCGGCCATGTCAAAGGTGAGAATGCTTAACACTGCTACAGGGGACTGAAGAATTGTAATGGATAATTCAGTTTAACACAAACACTTTTCACAGTGCCCGATACATCATAAATGTTCAGTGGAAGTCCACTGATATTATTCATTGTTATGGAGTCTCTCTTGGTAGACATATAAAGTCTTCCACTAACAGAAGTTACGCTTATTCACTTACAAAGGATAATCTTTGGCATTTTGTTATTTTTTTCTCCTCCCACAGATGTGCTTTGCATCAAGGACAACTTATCAACCAGTTTCTGCCAGACACTGAAAACCATGAGAAAATGTTCTGTGCCCACTGTGCGGGCTCAGTGCTGCCTCTCATGCTCCCAGACATATGTCGTCCACACCCGAAGGCCAAGAAAGCCACAGTTGCTCAAAACCCCCAAAGCATTCTAAGTCCAGGAGGAAGCCACCCGCCACCAGAGACTGCCACAGTCTGCTGACAGTGACCTGTTCTAGCTCCACGGGCCACTTCATGGTTTTACTCTGTGCATTTCAGGTCCAACTTTGGGTCGTAACAAAACAAAATCCACTGTGTTCCATTGGTGACAAAATGTCCTTTGCAGGAGGTATGGGACTGTGACACTTGATGCTCCCTGATAGACAAGCAAAATACCCAGGAGAATTAGGCATCTCCTGGACTCAGCTCCTGGGAAAGTTGCCAGATTAGGCAAGTCTGTGAAATGATGTCTTTTTTTTTCCCTCCTCAAAGAGAAAAACAAAAGAGACCAGATTTTTCCCAGACTACCTCAAAAGTATCAGGAAACAGAACCGCATTTACCCAGGAAAAAAAGAATCTTATCAATTAACCTTGGTAGAATCATCCTTTATCTTTTCTCTTTCTTTCTGCTGGGGACAGCTGCTGTTTAAAATGTCATGGGAGAGCTTTTAGGAACGTTCCTTTCATTCATCCAGGCAAAGGACCACTTTCTTCACCCGGTGTTCACCTAGGGAGGAAGAGAAAGTACTGGCTACATCCCTTAGTCTGTCCTTAATTGCTGTAGACTCCATATCTGTCTGGGCTCTTCAGACGCCCGTGCCCACCTAGAGACACTAGAATAAGAGGAAACGAGCAGAAACTGTAGGATTTAGTAAACCTAAGGGATTTAGGTGAGTCATACAGAAGACATTTTTGACCTGAGGATAATTTCTATGAGATCTCTTAAAAAGCAAAGGAACAGAAATCGAGTATTTGCTAACACACTTGACACTTGAACAACACGGGTTTGGACTGCATGGGTCCACTTATAAATTTTTTTCAGTTAATACCTGTACTGCTTTCCATCCACACTTGGCAGTCCGTGGATATGAAGGGCAGACTGTATGTGTTGATCTGTGCCATTTTGTGTAAGGGACTTAAGCATCCACGGATTTTGGTGCCTATGGGGTGGTGATCCAGGAACCAATACCCCACAGATACCAAGGGACCACGTACGTGTGAGGGAATCAAAAGTTAACATGCAGATTTTCCACTGTGTGGGGTTTGGCACTCCCAACCCGCATTGTTCAAGGATCAACTATATAAGAAAGGGAATGTGGGCCTTTATTCTTCCCACTTTCTCGGGAAATATCCATTCCTTTGCAGAAGAACAAGTGAGCCTTCCTGTCTGACTTTTCCTTTCTAGCATAGTCCCTGCCTATATTCTGGTCCATGGATGCAACCTCCCACCTAACCCCAGGTTGGAAAAGGAAGCTTCAGATTAAAATATTTCAGAGACCCTGGTAAATTGTATTAAGCACAAGAATTTAATACAGACTTCTAGTCTCAAGAAAAGAAACCCAGACTTCTCAAAAGCGAGGCAAAGAGGACCTACTTCCGAGTGCACCCAGTAGTTATACTTTTGAGGGTCCTTTTCCTTGAGGGGAACAAGCCAGTCAGGGGGACTCCAAAAAACTGAAATGGAAGTTAAAAGGCTTATTCTGGATCTCCCCACCACCCATCAGGAGCCAAAGTAGGCTGTGGTCTCAAATTCAAGGCAAATTTCCTGGTTTCTAAGGGGAGGAATTTACATGAACTGAACCCAGAGAGAGAGGGTGGGTGGAGTCTCAAGGGGAAGCCGCCCACAGATCAGCCCTTGACAGATGGGAGGCAGGGATGTGGCCTTCATGTAATGGGCAGCATATTTTCAGACTCATGCACAGGTACAGTTACTATTCACCATGGAGCACAGTGTCCCATATCTCCTTTGAATTATCTACCCGTTCAGCAGAATGGTGCTATTGAAAAATGGTGCTAATACCTAGACGGTGGCAGAACGTAAACATAATAAATAGATGTGCAAGTGGGTAAGTCCATCTACATCTTCTGTTAAATGTATAATGGTGTTGCTGGCCAATGCCAGTTCTACTGCTCGGGTACCAGAAGCTTAAGATTTTTATATTATGTGCTTTTTTTTTTTTAAGCCATCAATGTATATTATTCCGATAAATTTCTGTGGAACATAAACACTGGGATTGGGATGAAATTTAAGATAGGCCAGAAACAAGAGGGAAGTAGAAATGTTTACCTAAAGCCAGGGAACTTATTTCTAGATAATAATTACAGTTTTGTATTCTCTCTCTTCAAATAGAAACATTGCTGGCTGATGACAATCTCTGGTGAAATAATAGTTTGAGAGAGAAGATGCTTAAATTGTTAGTGGAGCAGAACCTAATTTTTTTCTAATGAGGCATTCATCAAGACTGTTTCTGAAGTATCGTGTAGACTTTCAGAGGGATTCATTTAGTAAACCACATCGATTTAACCTGTACTGTACTATCACAGGGTTGTGCACGTTGCCATGACCAGTCTTACAAAACTCAGGAACAAACTCAGCTTCCTTCTGACCTCAGCAAAATAGGCCGGATTTCCCAGTACACCAGATGTGATTTAGGACCCATGTAGCTAAGATGGTAGAAATGGAGGGACGGCCTAGCCAGGTGCTCCATTCTAGGCCTTTCTCCAGTTTCTCAAAGGCAGAATATTGGCTCCTAGTCATGTCTCACAGATGTGCACTTCCTGTTTTGAGGCTGTGTTGTGAGACAGTTGTATGGGTTTTGACAGATCGCTGTGCTTGTAACAAGAGAGGGGACTTAGATTAACCGGGAGACTCTGAAGGTAAGAACATACATGGTACCTTCACCATTTTCTTTGATGCTCTCAGGAGCCAACATGAAGCAGCATTTGTTGGTTTATTTCATCCATGTCTGCCTTCCTTTCCAACTTGAATGAGCAAGTGAGATGTGTAGCAAGAGACACTGGATATACATTGGTCATAAACCAGAGAAGGCTGCCACGGGGCCTGGTGCTCAAATCCATTAAGGCTCTCAAACCCAGTTTTGTTTACATTGCCTTCCATAGGGGTAGAGTTCTCTCTTCCCTGAAAAGTTGTGAGTTAATGTAATTCTTGAACATCGAAACATAATTCAACACTGTGAGAAAACAATATTTTAAGAGACTAAACAGTGAATACTTTTCTAAAATAGGAAATCATTTTGTGATACAAACAATTGCTTCTTTGGAGGAATGACTTGATTCACAATGGGTTTTCTTAAACAAGAGCACACTCCCCTTGGTGGAGTCCTACCAATGCGATGCTTTCAGGTATTTAGTGAATGTTTTTGATCACTTACATCAAGTTTCGGAAACAGAATTTGAGGGGCTTACATTGTTTCAGATCACAATTTCCCAATCAATTGGCTAAAATCCCCCAAACTCTGAAAGCTACACTTTGCCACCCCACCGATTGCAGGTCTCAGCTCTTCTCCCTCCTGACTTTAAGATGAAGTGTATCTGGGATACTGCACAGCAACTCACTTTTGAAAGAGACCAAATGACAAACTCCTGGTGCTACAACTTAGTCAACATATTTGATGCTACTCCTGGTTTCTGTATTGCTAATTCAAATATTAGTAGTAGTAGTATTAAGTTATATTACTAATGAAAAAATATGGTTGGGGAAGCACTCTTCTACCTATCATTGTCCTCCAAATTGGTTGTATGATACATATGGCCCAACCCACTGCCCTCCCTGCATCTCTGTGCTGCTTTGCCAGGCCCAGCCTCAAGGGGTACCCCACTGGGTACTTCAGTATTTAAAAACATACTGTAATCATAGCCTGCCATGATATGGCATCAATAAATGGCCAAACTCATTGATGTTTCCATGTGATTCATTTTCCCCTGCTGTGAGACTCCCACCCCCCACCAGTGGTACCCTGGAGTTTAGCATCCTGGAGGAGGATGCTGTCAATGTCTTCCTCCCACACTCCTTGCAGATTGTCTCCTACTCCATCCCTAAATTAGTATGGCAACAGATGAGTCACATCCCAGGTGAGGTAGAACTTCTACCTCTTCTCATGAATGATTATGCAATGACTAGCAATCTACCATATGATAATATGAAGTGATGCCTAAAACTCTCCACAATACCAGATCCAGTGTATCAGACTTGCTGAGTAATCTACTCCCTCATCTTATCCAAAGTGTAGACATGATGTTTAAGAGAAAGTAACCCACATCTAGAGGAATTCGGTTTGGAAATCTAATTGTTTTTCAAAGATGGTGCACAACACAGTAAGCACAACCAACAAAGGTAGAATTTGGACATATGGACATGGAACCCACTCATATGGAATGAGTAAAAGCACGGAGGCAGTGAAGAACCAGGCATCAGCAGGTGACCTCTGAAATGTTTGAGGGCATGTGTAGTGGTAGGAATCTGTTTTCAGTCAAGAAGGCATCACAGAGGGCTATGAACACCTCCCTGTTTGTCCCTTAAAAACTCTTCTGGGACCACGAGGTAACGTTTACCCTGCAAAGCTCACCTCAAGCGCTGCTCCCCCGAGAAGCCTACACTGACCTTTCCAGAAAGACCGAGGCATTTCTCTGCTCCTTCACTGGGTCCACTTTCCTCTGGAACAGTAGTTCTTAATCAAGGGTGATTTGGGCCCACAAGAGACATTAGACAATGTCAGGAGGCATTGGTTTTCACAACTGGTGGGAGAGGAGGCAGTGCTGCTGACCTCTAGTGAGGAGAGTCCCAGGATGCTGCTAACATCCTACAGGACGACCCCTCCCCCCCACACACAAAGAATTATCTGGCTCAAAATGTCAATAGTTCTGAAGTTGAAAAACTGCACTAAAACAATGATCACCTTGGAATGAGTAGCATCCCAGGGTTTCTGGGTTGGGTAAAACTGAGCTCACCCTAAAATTCAGACCTCATAAAAGGTAAGACAGAAAACCTCCGAAGAAGAAAATATGTCAGGATTCAAACTACACCCATTTGACAAAAGCACCTGATGTTGAACGAGAGTGTCTTGGACCGCCCCCTGGGGGGCTCAGGGACCTCAGTCCTAGTGCCACCGGCAATAAACTAAAAGCAAGCAAAATGCAAGAGTGATAGACTGGAGGGCAGAAATAAACATCCTCCTCTGATTGAGGTCTCTAAGAAAAACTAGACATAATCAGCCATATCAAAATAACAGCCTGATGAAGCTGGCTTGGAGAGCATATCCTGGATGCAAATGGAAAAGGGCTTTCCTACTGTTCTCTACACCCCCAGGGTTCAGACTCAAGAGGAAAGGGGTTGGGGGAAGAAGAGGGGGAGGGACAGGGAGAAGTATGGGAGTGGGGAGAGGGAAAGGGGGAGAGGGAAAGGAAGAGAGGGAGAGGAAGAGGGAGGGAGGGGAGAAGAGGAAAAGGGTGAGGGAGAGAGAGAGGGAGGGAGCGAGAAAGAGAGAGAAATGGACCACTCAAACCCATTAACCTCAATTAGTGGGCGTATCGATGGGCATCAAGCGTTCATGAATAGCAGCACTCCTCCCTGTGGGGAAGAGCACCTGACGGGTACCATAAAGGTCTCAAAGGGATATCCCAATCCTACCCACCCTGGAAGTGGAGTCCTTTCGTTTCTGAGGGTAAGACCAGGGTGAAGGGAAGAGGTGGTGGCAGAGGAAGCATTATCTAAAAGTGGGGCCCTTCCCATAAATTTAAAATGATGATGTGATCTTGTTTTTTCAAGATCATAATGAAAAGACTTGGAAGAAGTAGTGATAAAGCAAGATACAAAAGTTAACACGTGAGTGTCGCAGCCTTCACTCCCGCACCAAGCACTGCCCACTCTGTCACAGGACAGCCCCCAGGCTCCTCCCTTTAGTGGTAGAGCCTGGCTCACCCCATCTCCAACTTGGTGGGATATTGCCCAAACTAAGAGTCCTTAGCCAGGGCACCTGCAGCCTTCACAATGACGGTACATGTGCCTGGGGCTGAGGTAATACCAAGGGATTCCCAAAAACTCAGCACAGTCCACCTGGAGCTTGACATCAGCCATCAGACAGCTGGAGGCTCTCCTGCCCTAGTGCTCACTATGGTGGCACCCCTGGCACCATCATGATATGGCTTCTTCTTTGGCTACTAGGAAGATAATGCTGCATGGTAGAAAGATATTAAGAGAACTAGTTCACAGAAGACATTCTCTTGTTGCTTCCATAAATATTGGCAAGGAATTTGCAGGGACTGGAAATCTGAGTGGGCAGAAACAGATCCAGGGAAAAACTACCTCTTAACCTTCACTAACATTGTACTTGTAACCCCAGGATGGGAAGGACCTGCTAACAATATTTTTACCTACATGCCTGTCCTCTAGACTCAACTCTTTGAGGAGAGGGAACGTATCGTTTGGTATTTCTCTTCCTGGAATCTTGTCCACTGCCTGGTATATAGTGTTAAAAAAAATGGATTGATTAAATTAACTGATGCCGCATTAAGGAGCTAGGGGAAACAAGTGAAGTTCTCGTAGCAACGGAAAGGTGGCTGCTTATTCTAGAAACGAGACTTAGTAAGCCATTCAGAACCAGCACACAGATCTAAATTAACCATCATAACCAGTAATGAACAATTATTGTAGTAACTAACAGCATTTGGGAACATGATGTGTCCTGTGAAAGGGCAGGATCTCTGCAGGATCCAGGGGATAAAACTAAGGAGCCCAATGTTTCCGCTTTACTAATGTCTGCTACTTATCCTCTACCTGAGATTGCTCCAGTGTTTGGAGAGGCAGTATGATGAAAAGCAAGCCGACTAAATGGGGGGCAGATCTGGATGCTAACCTCAGTTCCACTATCCCCAAACTATGGACTTTGGGAAATTCTTGGGCAATCATTTACTTACATTTCTGTCTGTCTCTCCCAATGAATGATCTTCTCCCAGATGGCAAGATTCACCATTATCCTCCCAATTCTTACTACCGTGCCTGGCATAGAGAGGATGCCTCATAGGGCCGGCCGAGTGGCTCAGTAGGTTAAGAGCTCACTCAAGAGTTTGAGCTCTGAGCAACAGCGGTTCGAGTCCCGGCCTGAGCTGAGCAGCC